CCCTTGCGAGAACTGGTCGTAAACGTCTTTAGTTTTTAACTGATGTGACGTTCATAGGTATACCTAGTTACTTACGTAAAAATGTGTTTGACTTTAACTTTGAATCTACATCATAAAATTACAATAAAAACACACATACATTTTAATATAATTTATTTGACTAGAAATTTTCAAGTACAAGTATTAACCCTTCGTGGATCTAGAGCTCGCAATTGTAAGAGCGTAGAAAATAATTTACAGACACCAATATATTGTAATTTTCACTTTACGAAGATAGGTAATTAAAACTAAAGTAGTTTATGCGCAAGAAAAAGATAAATCAGTTCGTTACGTAACGCGTTGTTCAATGTAGCTATTATAAAAATCCCTTCGTATTACAACAGGAAGAATGTTCTAACTCATTAAATCGCGGAAATGACTCAGGTAAATTTTTTCTCACCCTGAATTTGAAACACAGCATAGTTCTCAAGAAACTTGAAGTCTGTACAAAGGAATGCTTTTTGAATTTGAGTTCTTTACAAAACTGATATAACTACTAAACTGAAACTTTCATAGTTTCAAATAAAATGATAATGAATGAAAGTAAAAGAATGAACGAAAGACATTTCAAAAAGTAACGATAGCTATAATATTTGTTTTCCTCTTAGAAAGTTTTTAAAAATGAAAAGAAAATACAGTTGTTGAGTTGTTTAGTTGATACAAATTTAAAATATTAAATCATCCTTCTCCACACGTTCTGATGTAATGATCAATATAACGATGATTTACAAATATAGATACAAAAACTCTACTTAAAAAACCTAAAGCCAAAGACTAAGCCGAGGACTTTTAATTTGTAGTCAGAGTTATTGACTACGAAAAGAAAAATAAAAACAATATTAATATTACATAGTCTTATAAAGAAAATTCATATTACATGGTAAATCACGACAAATTAAATGTTTCGTAAAGTGAAATTACAAATTGGCGTTCTCACAAATTAGCTGAAATCGATTATATTATTACTAGCTTAGCATTAAAGTCTAATATAATATTTGATTCTATTTACAATATGCGAACCTGAAAATTCTGAGCAAGAGCACAAATGGACTATGCTATATTATATCTTTGAACTGACATTTTATGATCGACGGTTTTGATAAAATTATATAAATATAAATATTAGCTCAGGTTACATAAATTAAGGAAGGAAATTAGCTCTTATTATGTAATCTAAAGACATGTTGACGATCAATCTGTTTCTAACAACGGGTAAGACTTTGAAGTTAATTTTAATACTACTAAAATAAAACTATTTTAGAAACCCTGTTGTCAGACTGTTCCAGGTAAACTAGAAATCATTAATTAAATATAGCTTATAAATTATCACCGGCTGGTTACCTGTTTCGTCGGAGAAGAAATTTAAGTATTTAGTATCGTTTAAATAAAACACTTCAACGGTTTAAAACGCGATACATACACTGTATGTATCGCGTAGTCGCGCGGAGACCACGGCTGCTGTAAAGCATCGGAACGTCGGGGCGTAGTTAAAAATACTTTTCAAATAAGTTTAACTAATATATATGGCGTTTTAAACCGTGAAAGTGTTTCAGCGGGGGTTCGGGTCTTTAACGACTTCCGGCACTTAGGACGTGACGAAAACCGGGACTGATGACAAAAGGTAACTTCCGAAGCATCATGATACCCAACTCTGGACTATGGTTGGAATATTTTGTCTATTTATAGAACGGAATTTTGTCGAGCTCATTGGTCTAATAGTGGCAATGTATGGCTAATGATCAATGGTGGTCGTGGGTTTGATCCCCACCAGGTCCCACATGTTTCTAGTTCTAGGTAGAAATATAGAAATTCCGTCTGAGTCACAAGCCACCAGATGAAAAAGCCGCGAAGCTTAATCGCGTTTCGGTTTCTGCGGATGTCCGAATTTCTAAAACCAAAAAGGTCGACAGCGCATCTTGTTTAGATGCTATAGTATACTGGCTGGGGTATATCACCTACCATCAAGTAAACCATATGTCTGTCCTCCTCTATCATGAAAAAAATACTAAGATATCGCGCGACTAAGTATCAAACTGGGGACCTCGTGTCCTACAATATACTATAGCTGAAAGCATGGCTGCCGAGCTCGATAAATTAAATATTAATATAGGGTATTGTGCGTAGATGTCATTAAAATCGAATTAAGAAGCCACACTCATTAATCATACAGTATATGTGATTGTATAGATATATGCAATTCATGGTTATTACATTGCTTAGAAGCTTATATGATATACAACATTGAGCCTCATTGTTACCTGGATATAATGAGCTGAGCTAACTCATGCTATTAACGCTTCTTGTATAGAATATAATAAGAAAAATAGATTATAGAGTTAGATGAATCACTAACAACAATATATCAGCCAGTTGTAAATGTTACGACATTTTTAAATATTCATAACGTGTAAAATCCTGTATCCAGACAACTAATATGTGTTTCTTCCGTGCTGGGGCACGAGAGAAACACATATCTGTGTCCGTGTCACTGATCGGTTTATTTACGGGTGTATTTGATCAGACTTTAGTGCCCTGCCCGACCAAAGTAATCTATTGTTTTCCAGAGATTTGAAACCAGGATCTCGCGGTAACGCAGTGCTAGATAACACGTTTTTATAGCTGACAACCATTTAGCTATAGAGATGGTTAATATGTTGGTAACGTAATATCGAAATGCGAAAAAAAAATCATACAAGTAAAATTTAACAAGGAACAAAGGAACCAGTGGAAAGTTTGATGAGACGATAATTGGTTGATAGGTTATCAATGTTAAAATACTGACAATCGCCAAACTAAAGTAGCAGTTGTGGTAGCTAAAGGTACTTTCTTAATACCAACATTAGTTTAGTTTAAAAATATGTATGCTTAGCATTTTAAATAAAAGAGTAAGTATTCTTATTTCTATTGTCTAGTTTCCATCTCGAAAATAGCGCATAATCTAAACTCACCGAGTCACTTTACAACAGGAATTTAGTTAAAAACCCTTCAACTTGATGTTACGAAGCAGACGTACCTATAGAGTTATGGCATTAAAAGTTTTGTAATATAATTCCAACGTGCACAATGAACTTTTAAGCTCGTGTAACTTAATAAAGTGGTAACTTTTACGTCAAGTTAAATTCGCATAAACGGCGTAGTTTTTAAGTACTGCTTTATTCATTCAATGGCATGTAATTAAAAGGGATTTGTACTCTCGATTTGTATACTCGCGACATTACCTGGCTTTGCGTGGGAATTTTAATTTTTTTAATGGTTCATTGCAAACACGTGTTGCCGACCTTTTCTTAACGGCTGTGTAAACTTATCACTATTTTAATCTCAGAAACTACTGGTAATTGGTTGGTTAGAGCATTTATCGAGGAAGGCTCTCGGCTATAAAACATCACGATGCAACCAATAGGAGGGAGGATATAATGGGTCTACGTCGCATGCGTTGTGAAAACGGTTCAAGATACCCAAAATATGTTATCAAACAATGATTCCTCTTTAAATGATATTAACAAGGTCCTCGACAGTACATGTCTATTAAAATTAACTAACAAGAACGAAGGGACGCGACTGACGTCGTGGGCAATTCCATAATTCTATGAAGACGACTCTTCGTCAGGTCTTAGGTTTACAAAAACAAATGTTGATGCTCCAAATAACTATTCTGCCACAGTTTAATCGTCAACACCAATCACTACATGCTACAACAAATATACAATTTTAATAATCTATATGATTACAATTCAACACATTTTAATTTCTTATTTACATCTACAACATCGACAATGATATGTTGAAACACAAATATATTACATTTCATACATCTAAAACTAATAATTTTTCTTAGCGCTTTTCCCCCTTTTAATAGTTTAAATTATTATATAATTATTGCGCTACGTTTACAACTAACAGTGAATTAAAATTCTAATAAGTAATATTGCTTTGAATCTTTATAAGTATGATAAATTATTCTACGCGTCTATTTAAAGTTTAGGAAAGTTTTCATTCTACTAATGTCAATCCTTCATTAAACCCAAGATGATGGTTTCCAGACGATTCGATCTCTGATAAGACTTTTCATGAAAAAGCGTAATTTATTCTTAATGATTAGATATTTACAGAATCTGGCTAAACGTTATGTACAAAAGTATCACAGGAAATGTTATACACTAATAATAATTTTGAATGAGGATGCTATCAGTAAGTATACTTAAGTAGTCTTTGGTATAATTTATGTAATTTAAAGTATTATTTGCCTTATATTATATATAGTTACATTTACGCTGTAAGCATTTAAATGACATTATAGTTAACTAAGTCTACTCGAATATATTAACTTTATCAAAGGTATACAGCTCGCGTTAAATTCTCGTAAAATAATAATGACTCTGCGAATGTAATACATATTTAAATTTCAGACGAAAAAAAATCTGGATCTTACGTGTATTTACAATATTATTTAATATCTTGTTATGCGAAGTTGAGTCTAAGCCAACTTGATTTTTAGGCTCTACAAAAAGTTTTGCACAATCTTGCAAGAGAGATAAAGTCTACATAAGTTTATGTATGACTTATGGGCATGACTTACTACATGTATATAAACATAGTTAGTATTTATTTAACCAAAAGGCAAGGTGATCAAAAACCAAATGTGGTAAGTATTGGAAATTTTAAGTTCCAAATAATACCAAAGTTATCTTAATATATAATAATAACTCTTTAATATTTTTTAATATGTCTTTATAAATTTACATACACATGAAAAAACTTTTTCATTTTAATATCAGTGTCACAAGTTTGACCTTCAAAATTGGCGAAAGATATTTCTATTCTTATACAACTTCGATCTACACAAAATGCGTAACTTAATTCATATAGATTTAGTTAGTAGTTTTTTTACAGACTTAACTTTGTTTTACTTACACGACATCGCTTTTGTCGAGTAGCCCATTGTTGCTACTCCCGTCTTCTTGTCAGATGTGGTAGTCTCGCAGCGGTCTCACAGACTCCGCGGACGACCTCGGCGTTGGATCTACCCCAGAGAGCCCCAGTGACCCACTTCTTCTTACCACTAGCGTTTTCGTTCCATAATCTGTGACAAAGTTGTCATTTCTCGTTGGTGTGTTCGCGCGAACAGTTTGATATCCGCAGCACGGAGGATACTTGGATGTGAGAATCTTTTTGAAGGCTTCGCGGAACTCCGTATTGAATATCGAGTAGATGATGGGGTTGAACGCGGAATTGGAGTAGCCAAGCCACGTGAGGATTTTGAAAGCAAGATCTGAAACAAAAGTTAAGTTTAAATTTCTACGTACTAACCATGTATGGACCATTCATTGAATAGGGTTTTGTGTACAGAAGACACAGTGTAAAATGTGGAAAAAAACAGGAAAATCTATTCATTTTTATAAGATTCTGTTGCGTGCGCTGCGAAAACTGTGCACAAAAAATATGTATGGAGAAATTATTCTTCTTTAAATAATCTAAAAAATGTACGGAACAGTATGTGACTATTTTTTATTATATTCCACCAGACCCATTTTTTTGGTAATAAATTTCGTCAAAACATTTCATATGGTAAAATACCGTTCAGGTCAGCTAGTATATATGAAATGTGTTGATTCGTGTGTTTTCAAGAGTAAATAAGAGCGTTGTTATTTCCTATATAAATAATTTATACATCTACACGAATTATGTTGTACATTCATTCAAATGTTGGGTTTCGCGTAATTTTGATCAAAAATAACGCGAAAACTCGTTTAATCAAGTCGGGGTCACTAAAACAGTTTTGAATATATTTTTATCCACTAAGAGAATCTTTAACATGAAGAAACAACAAACGTCATAAAATTTAAACGATCTAAAATCGATTTAATTTATGAGAAACAATTTAAGCAATAACTACTGATTACCTACTTTTTAATTTATTAGTAGGATTCAAGTGGTGAGTCATTTATTCATTCAGAAATTTGGCAATAAATAATTTTTCGGATTCTGCGAGGTAAAGCCGCGCTAATACGCTTTTTCGAGTGTTTTCTACTCTCACTTGACCTAAATACTGAAACCATAATTAGGGTACGTAATATACCTCGAGATCCAATATTAATTATTATTTCAATATTACCTACATTTCTATGTTTATCACGTTCGCGTAACCTACTTACATAAACGTGCTTATTGCTTATAAAGCGTTATTTAATAATTAATATTAAATACTGTCTATAGTTTACGCGAGTAGTACACATTTAAATAAAACACTTTAACGGTTTAAAACGCGATATATTAGTTAAACTTATTTGAAAATGATTTTAACTTCGGCCCAACGTTTCGGATGCTTTGCAGCCGTGATCACGGGGAGATTAAAGATGGAGGGTGTCTCGGATGTAAAAATAAAATCTGCTACGCTAGCGCCATCTGTTCCGTAGAATTAACTAAAGGTCTCTTCGCGTTTGACGGTATGCTGTTTTTTGGAATCTAAAGTTTTTTTCTCTCTGAATTATAAATTTTAAAATGTATCTAACTCATATATATCACGTCTTAGACCGTTAAATTGCTTTATTTAAATGTGTACTACTCGCGTAAACTATAGACAGTATTTAATATTAATTAAATATGTAATTATCAGACATTTTCCAAGCAATTGATTTATTTTATTTTAAATGTGGAATTTAAGTCTAAAATGGCAGATACAGTTCCTAGATAGTCTTGTTCAGAAAATTTTTCTTGCGAGCTCTAAGCTCCGAGGCGCAAAACGAAGCTCTTTCAATTCCGTTATTAAGTTCCCAAGCCAATACGAGACTTTAGGAATGTGAGGACATATGTTTCACATATAGAATTGAGACACAACATACAATTCTTATTTACTATACATATATTTTTAAATAAGTATAGTACTACTTATATGTATACAAGCTATGTTATTATATATACGTAGTTTTAAGCACGTAATCATAAAAATATGAGAAATAAAACCTAACAAGAGCTTGTTGGTTTTCAGGCTTTATAATTACGACAAAAAGAACAACTGTTTTATACGATCCACCGCTTCAATATTTGGTATATTTATATATATTAGAGAGAAAGCAAGTAAACATTTGTGATAATTTATACTATTGCGGTGGCCAGCATAATGACTTTTGTTTTTATAATAGAGGAGGACATATCAGCTTGGGGTTCACGTGATGGTAGTCAACCTATTTTAGATTGGGATATTCGGAAATCCACAGAATGAAATAGAGAACTGAATAGAACTTAAAAATCGAAAATAAATTGAAAAATTTTTCGACTCGGGCAGGACTTGAACCGGCATCGTCAGCGTTCCGTGCTGTTGCTCTACCAATTGAGCTATATGTTTGACCCGGGGGGACAATTCACGCCACATTACCCCCAAAAGAGAGTACTCTCAGTCACATAACAATAAGTTGTTATATATGTATACAATCTATTTTATACCACTTCCGTACTGAAATAATACTTGAAAGCATAAAACTGTGTCGCGTAAGTACAGCGAAATACATTTTGTATCATTAACGATAAAACTTCTGGCTGTCCGCCTCACTCGTTAATCATACTGCGCTCTAAAGAAATATAATCTTGCTTACAAGTGTTATTTAACGGAAGTGATGTGAAAATTGTCGTGATGAAGATTTATACTATATTAAAACCTTTTATAATACTTGGAAAAATCTATGTATTTGTTTCGAGGCCTTTTTTTACTGATGGTGTGATTGCGTAATGCACACCCACGTCGGGCAATGGCGACGTGGGAGGGTAGTAAATCATACTACAACCTCCTCAGAACCAGAATCACACCACTACTTAGCCCTCTACGGTGCTTTCGAGGGAGCCATGTCTAACATGTTTTCTGAAACAGGTTGGACTGTGTCTGGAATTTTGGATATTAAAGGGATATCGAAATTCCTTTCCGGTCACAAACCTCAGTCCGTGAGTTTCAGTCTGTGAGTTTGCAAACATTCAAAGCCAAAATAGGTCAATAGTGTTCACGTCGAGATACATCCCTTCTACCAACATAAAAAAGTTAGTATTGAGTAGCCATCGTAAAATTACCTGGTATGCATGTCTTGCAAAATGCAGCGACGATGTTCACGCAGAAGAAAGGAACCCAGCATAGCAGGAAGACTCCCATGATGATGCCAACAGTTATTGCCGCTTTGTGATCTGACACATGGTACGGAGACGAGTGGACATGGGTGTGGACTCTAGTCCGGACGGATTTCGTCCGGTTGTCCGGCAGCTGGACTGTCCGGGTCACCGCCCGGATCGATTTCACGTGCTTTTGAGCGTAACAGTATAATCTGAAAGATAATAGAGTTTAATAACTTGGAACATAGCTTTAAGAAAGTGACACTTCAAATCTATACTAATATTATAAAGCCATAGAGTTTGTTTCTTTAGACGCACTAAACTGAAAAACTATAGGTTCAAGGAGATTTTTTCTTGGTTGAAAACTTTTTGTTTGGACCATTCATCGAGGAAGCCTTCAAGCTACAAAACATAAGGCCGCGAATAGTGTCGGACGGCTTGTGTTGTTGTCTCCTTTATGTAATCGTCAAAATAATTATTGTTTCAAAGTCAAAGTCTCGTGTAAGCAAGGTTTATCATTAGTAGTGGATTTAAAACCGTATCACATTATTCTAGTGGAAAACTACTCGTAAATGTTCTTAGTTTATTCTCACTATTTTTCCAATTTCAAATGTCGCCCGCAAAACAGTCATTTATATCAACTTCTCAACTGAATTACTGCTTGCAACAGCTGTGATAAAACATGATTGTAGTAAACCCAGTTAATAATAAACATTCTTGGCAAAAACTTAAGCCAAAAAGACCAAATTATTTCTAAAGAATATGAATAAACTATTTGGTCTTTCACTAAGTTTTTTACTACAACTAAAAAAGTTTTTTCGAATTAAATACCGTCTGTAGCTTAAGCGAGTAGTACACAATTAAATACAACACTTTAACGGTTTAAAACGAGATATATTATTTAAACTTATTTTAAGTTTAAATAATATATGTCGCGTTTTAAACCGTTAAATTATTTTGAAATAGTTTTTGGTATATATTATGTACTTAATTTTAGAATCGTAGTTTTTGTATGGTTTTGTCTTAGTTTTTTTAATATTATTAAATTTTTAGAGTGTTTCAAATAATGCTTTCATAAATATACATGTTTAAAATTTTAGTTAGTACATGTGTAATTATCACTCTTAAAACACTAACAAACATACACATGTCGTGTATAAAAGCAAACATTTATATTTTTGAGCTCGATCGAACTTGGGCTTTGAAAACTTATCGTCTTTCATGTTAATTTCAATGTCTCAGAAAAACAACCTTATAAGCTTACCTGCAGTATATACTAATCATCACTATGCACGGTAGAATAAACGATATACAGCTTGACACTACAGCATACGTTGGGGTGAGGACGAGCGCACAAGTGGGATATCTTGGGGGTCGTTCGGTCGTTGTTACTGTCTCGTCTGGGGGTCGATGGAGTCCCAACGATATCGGAAGAAAGCTAACCATGACGGCTAACAGCCAGATCAGTATTATGGTGATAATGGCTACACGACGCGTCACCCAGCGACCGTATCTAGGACAAAATTAGTTAAAATGTTATTAAAATTATGTATACTTAAGATCTTGGCTAGGCTACTTTTGGCGTAGAAGAGATTATTTAGCATGTAGTTAGGTATTATTTAAAACGTGTTGCATAGCATTGCTATTTACGCATGAGGGGTTGGGCTTCGAATATCGGGAAGATAAAAGATTATTTTGGTGGGACAGGGATAAGAAGTCTATTCATCCTTTGTCTCACGGGGACTCTAAGTTCGAGTTGGGAAGGACGTTAATTATATATTTACGAAACTAAGTAATACGTCTGGAAGAACATATAGAAATTTACAGAACACTCTGACTGTGGCTATAGTACAGTCATTCAAAATAAGGTTATTTTTATGAAAGAAGTGGTTAGACAAGCATGAGGAAAACTTGAGGGAAGATAAATTTGCGAAATATATAGTTTAAAATGAATATCGTTCCGACTGAAAAAATACACACGAATTAACACTATTCATTACATTTCAAACGAAGTTTTATCTGTGGTCTGTAGTACGAACTTAAAACTGAATAACAATATTGATTTGCTCGATAGTCTTGTCATCAATTCTAAACCAAATAGGAAATCTCACCTCAAAGGATCCTTAATGTGAATGTATCTATCCAGTGATATGGCACAGAGATTCAATATGGACGCCGTAGAACACATGACGTCACAAGCTACCCACGTATCGCAAAACTGCTCACCGAAAACCCAGTACCTGGACAAAGAGGTTTTATTAATAATTTTCTAAATTGGGTTATATATGGGTCATAGATTTATTTAATTCTTTATTATTATCAACTCACCCAAACACAAAGTATATAATATTATAAAATATTCTTAATACTACAAATTTTAAAGATACATTTTTTTTACAAGTTACCGAGTGCAATGGGCGGCCTTATCACTAAAGAGCGATCTCTTCCAGGCAACCCTTGTTTAAAAATAAAATAAGATACATCAAGAGAATGTGCTGGTCGTGCGATGCTTAGTAAAAAACAAAAATAATTATATACACACAAATTGAAGAATTCAAATTACGTTTGTGGATGAGCGATTAACAAAATACAAAGTAAATATTTGCCCTATCCAGAAAGTATGTGTGTATAAGTAAATAATATAATATTATTGTAATTTTCATATTTCAATTACAATCTCAAGAAACCAAATTGTAATGAATAAAATACATAATAAAGAGAAGACACTAGAAAGATCATCTACATAGGATATATAATTTCTTTGCATGTACTTTACTTAATCTTCAACTTGGTAAAGGGAAATTACAATTTTATCTTTTGCATTTGAAAATCACATGACGTCTTACAATTGACAAGAAAAATCTTCGTGATTCCATTCCACGAATCCATTATAAATATAATTAAATGTATTGTGTATCACGGTGAAGAATTAAAAATGACGATTTATATTATCTATACTAATATAGAATGCTGAAGAGTTTGTTTGTTTGAATGCGCTAATCTCAGGGACTACTGGTTCTAAATGAAACATTATTTTTGTGTTGCTTAGAGTCTTTATCGAGGAAGGTAGACTATATAAAACATCGCACTGTGACTAGTAGAAGCGAAGAAGCTGCGGGAAATGTAGAAAAAACGGGAAAATTATTCATCTCTGTGGGTTTCCGATGAGTACGCTGCGAAACCGAATCTAGCTACCCAAATATAAATATAAAATAATGATTCCTGGCAAAATGCCTCAAAAAAAAGTTTGCGCCACTATATGTCTGTCCTTTAAGATGACCTGACAACGGAAGGCAACCGACGTCGTGGGTATTAATTTATAAAGATTAAAAGGAGGTTTACAAAAACAAATTTGGGTGCCCAAAACCACTATTCTACGCGGACGAAGTGCTGACACAGCTAGTTGTTTTTAAAAAAATGTTTTCCCTATTAATACATGTATTGAAAATATGTACTGAAATATAAGTACTTATAATTAAATGTTTTAGTTATAATAACGTAGAGCTATTCCCGCGAATAAATTCCTGGGACCACGGAATTCGTAATGATATTTCGGAGGCGGGCGAGAAAATAATTTCATTATCCATCAAGTCACATACACATGGTTCCGTAGGTTCATTCAGACTTAAGCATTAATTACATACCGGATTAATTCGTTTGTAATGAATGATTAAGTCGTACAAAATTGAAAAAATGTACTCGGACACAGGACTTAAACCACAGCGTCCCGTTCTGTTGCTCTAACCAACTGAGCTACCGAGTCAAATACTTCAGTGTTAGAAAGATAAAAATATATATAATCAAAAATCTATTAAGATTCAATAATGATGATATGAGTGGAACTTGAATAGACATCCGCTATGATCCGTGCTGCTACTCTAACCAATGAGCTACCGTGTTGTGTCGTCGGTTAGAGAGACGCGGAACGCTGTGGATAGCGGTTCAAGACCCGCCCCTGTCGTAAATTATTTTCAACTTAAATAGATTTTTATATGTAACAATGCCAATTTACAATACGTAAACAATGTTATACTTTTCAAAAATATACCTTATATCTTTGAAAACTTTATTAATTTTTACATGTCATTGCATTGTATATGTACATGAAGGCACTATATAATTTAAAAATCGAATATAAATTGAAAAAAATTTCGACTCGGGAAGGACTTGAACCGGCATCGTTATCTTATATTTTTTAATACCTTATATTTTAAAATTTTAATAAAACTTTTTTATAATACCTTATATTTTTTAATAATTGGTGTAAAAAATATTCTATTTTGATCGCTCGTCTGTGAAACCCGAAACACGCCTAAGATTCGAATCCTCCAATACGAAATAAAATGAAGTTCGTTTGTAACGAGACTTAGTTGGTTGAGTTACATGATTTTAAATGACTAATACAACTTTTGTTATGCTTTTACGCATCACTTAAAGTTCACTTCAAATGGTAGGTACTCACAACTCAAATTTAAATGCATAAACAAAACGTAAGCAAAACTCTGAATTTTACAAGGCATTTATGAGAGTAAGAGTATGATTGCGTCTCAAAACCATTTTATGCTATTTTCTAGAGAAGACTGCAAAAGAAAACTTACCCAAGCAAATCGTTTACACCAGCGAAAGTCATCACAGCAGCAGCAACCAGCATATCCGCAATCGCCAGGGAAGCAAGGAACAAATTTCCTATTCTTCTCAAACCCCGATCCGTGTAAATCGCAATACAGACGAGGATATTGCCAGCTGCACTGACAAATATTAGGAGAGAGAGAAATATACCTAAAAAGAATAACACACGTTATAAAAGTCAAATAAAACAGTTTTTAATTTTTGTTTTATTTTAGTTAAATTAAGTTTAAACAGTTTGTAGAGTTAATTAATTTAACGCGAGTTTTACGCGTACATTAACAGTAACATTTAAATAAAACACGTCACGGTAGCGCAGCAGTTTTTACGTTGACATCAGAGAGACCCTCCATCTTTATTCTCCCCGTGACCACCGCTACTGCAAAGCATTCGAAACGTCAGGTCGTAGTTACAATATTTATCAAATAAGTTTCACTAATATATATCGCGTTTTAAACCGATAAAGTGTTTTATTTAAATGAATCATTGTTATTTGTATATATTACGGCGCATTTGAGAGCTTATGTACATAAGGAGGTATTGTAAACTTTTAGATTAAAATAAAGATATGACGCGATCAGGACTTGAACCCACATCCATAGAGTACGTTGGCTTGTCGATATATCGGTAGCAAGGTATGGGTCCAAAATGTTTCTAATCAAATATAATTTAATAATAATTAACTTTTTATTATTAACATCCATTTCGTATTTGATTAGATATCATGGATTATAAAAACAAACGAGATTGTATGTGTTTACAGTAAAACAAACAAGAACATTTTAATTAAAATTTTCAACTAATGTTTTACAACGATAAATAAAAAGTGTGGATGGATCTACTAGCGTGTGATTATTCTGTAGAGTTGATTATTTTAAGTTCATATAAGATATTCGAAAACTCCTCCACATTTTCTAAGACTAACTAAGAGGAGAACTTCGAAGCAGAGGTTTTCGTGAAATCTTAGAACGCCTCTGCGCTTGGCTATAATTATCTAGAGGAAGTGTTAAGTATCCTCTTGTGTTTGTTTAGTTAATGAAATGCCTCACAAGTCTTGATGTAGACAAGACTTATCTGAACTATGCAAGCTCTACTTTGGGTAGGTATTATTACCCGAACTATATTCATGTATATATGTTTCATACAAACATAAAACACCTCAAATATTAATTTAAATGTGTAATAAATACTGCGCATTATATCATGTCTTTTACTGCAAACACTAGGTAAGTATGTGAAAGTAGAACAATTATTTTGAGCAAATAATTAAACTTACCAACTACTAATATTGATAATAAGGTAACTGCATCAGGGTCATCTGCATCTTCGTATTCTATTGTAGTATCATTTGTGCCTATCACCGTCTGCACAAAAAGTCAACAAAAATCTTAATCAATTCTTATTTAAAGATAGAAAAGTGTGTCAACAAATATACTTTTCTATAATGGATAATGAAGAAAATAAAAACTTTTTAAACACCAGGGTATAAACAGGCTATAATTCGGCATCTGTCTTAATTTAGTTTTTACATAACCTTGTAGAGAATCACAGTTTTGAAATATTCTCCAAGATTCGAACTTCGCGGTTGAGGCAATCCTGGGCAGTTTAACCAATGAGCATGGAAGGCGTTTTAAAACTGATAGTGTATTTAAAATACGCTATCAAAAGTGTTTGCGTTATTTTATTTCGTTTTTATTACAGAAGTGATTGATATGGCTATGTGCTACGGCGTAGACACCGGCATGCTACAGCGTAGCACTTAAAGCTTATTTTAGGAGCGGAACGTACTATTGACCAATCTACTTGGCGTGTGACTAAACTATAACATACTAATCTAATTGGTCAAAGAAGCAGCCATAAATGTAAGAGAAAGCATGGAACGGTTAAAAAAAATAAAAATGTAAACTAAAAATTTATTAAATATGTCAAAATAATCTCAAAGCATGTTTAACAAATATAAATATTTCACATGATTGATGAACAAACTATCCTTTAAAAATCAGTAGATTATTATTATGTTTACTTTTTCTTGCGTTCTCTTTGAAATCCTTGAAAATTTTACGAAAATTATAAACAAGTATCCGTCTCATCTCGAAAATGCGAAACAAGCAGAACTGAAGGAAACTCAAACATTATAAAGTCACGAATGCGCCAAACTTTCTTATAAAACATTTGAACTTTCGAGAGCGTTAAATAAATACTATGAGCTTGTATAGACATCTTTTAATACTTCAAAATTTACGTACAAACTTTGATACACATACTTGTCTTTTAAGATAGTAGTTTGTTTTGTGTGAGTTTTTTATCTTTTGAAAGTATGAATTCAATATTATGAACAACTGTGTAAACCAAACATACAATGTATGCAAAATATATGCTTTAAATTAGATGCAAGGATAAAGATAATATAATTAAATGTGTTTTGAAGATGCATTAAGGTAAATTACAGTAAAACATTTTTTAATTATATATGTTATATAATGTTAATAAAAATTAAAAAATATTTTGTAATCCTATTTACGTCTTGAAAATGGGATCAGAATTTATTAGCTTTACGTTTTTATACTCTTCTTTAGATACTGTCTGTATGGGAGACTGTGACGTGACCGCGGCTGCTGCAAAGCATCCAAAACGTTGAGCTGAAGTTAAAAATCATTTTCAAATAAGTTTAACTCATATATATATTGCATTTTAAACCGTTCAAGTCTTTAAATGTATAATAATTTGCGTAAACTACAGTCAGTATTGTACTCTTAATTTTTTGGTTTTTGTTATTATACTCTGTCCTTGACCACAGAGTATTATACAATATTCAAATTCTATTGAGATAAGTCTCAACTCAATTCGCCCTAAAAATTGTTCAGCAAGCGCTGATTATTCAAGTAGTAAGTAAACAAAGCGTTACCACCGTTCATTTACAAAAGCTTCACGCTTCGATACCTCGACAACAATCGGCACTGCTTAATTAAGTTTATTTTACACGAATCCCATCTCTATTACACTGTGGTGCAAACTATAGTCGCGTGAAGCGATAATGTTGCCAGTATGTTAACTTGTAAATCAGTTGGTATACATATTCATTGAATCTTATTGAGAATGATCGGGCCTTGGATTTGAAAACATGCGTTTGTTTTATAGAAAAGCATAAATGTTTAAAAATTATTTTTAAAGTTAACAGTGACGTTTTAAGCTACGTGGGTAACAATATATATATATATATATATAATATAAGCTGAAGAGTTTGTTTGTTTGTTTCAACTCGCTATCTCAAGAATCACATGCTCGAATTAAAAAAAAACCTTTAGTGTTCATTACAAAATTTATTAAAGAATATTGTAGGCTTTAAAACGTTACGCTGCAACCAATAGGAGCGAAGTCGTGCTGAAGGTGGCATCTTTAAGGGTTTTTGTTTCTTTCAGCAATATAAACAATATCTCTATCTATGTCTATCCTCTAAGATTAACTCACATGTTTGTGTGGAAATCAAATTCGGGCGAAATCCATATGACAAATAACGTTTGTCCATGTCAGCTAATAGTTTAACATCATAATGCTTATAATATTATGTTTAGTTTTAGCTAGTACACGGTGCAATATTTATTTACTTGGTTTCTGGTACAATTTAATGCCAAGTGATCCGTCTTCTACACCTTCCCAGTTTTATTGAGAGTCGATTTATCTTAAAAATTTCGTATCTACTAATATTAAAGGAAATTTAGTAAGAAGTTTATATGGAACTTTGTTAGTTGTACGTTTTTTAATTCCATTAAGCATATACCACGTCCAATAACATGGATTTTGTTTCCTACGAGCCACATACTTCCAGTAGTTGAAACAAAAGTTGGAGTTTGTTGTGTTTAGTGGTTCTGGTCCGGCGCCTTTGGTGTGGTTACTACTACTAGTTTTTAATTCAATTTAACATTTATCACATTTAATACTGTAAATGGTGTTCTTTCTGAATAACCACATTTTTATTCTATTCTAATAATTTTGTTTCCTACGAACCAAACACTACCACTAGTCGAACCAAAAGTTGACCTTGATATGAATTTATACTAACCGCTTAAATGTATTGGATGTAAGATTATAAGAATTGAAACAAGAAACTTTATTTAAAAAAAAAATAGTAAACATGTAATTATGTAATTTTTCCAATGTGTATTTTTTTAATTTGAACTTGCTTGATAAAATCCTAAGAGAAAGTATTGTATGTACCTTTTAATGAAACTATATTCTATTATAATTTCTACGTATAACTCTAATAAGTGTTATAGTGTGCAAGTTTAATATTAAAATGTCAAACAACCTTGCTTGCGTTAGCTCGGCCTCAGAAGGGGCCACAGATCATCAGTGTTGAGACACAAGTCCCAACGTAGCTGAGTGGCTTCCTTTTCAGAGGCAACTATAGTATTTAAGTTTAAAAGTATTTGATTTAAATTTTTATTATTTTCTTGATATTGTTATTAGGTTTAGTTTAAATTATAAATGTTGTTTCGGAATAAACGTATTTTATTCTATTAAAATTGTACGTTTCAATGCAATATACTGTGAATAACAGCAGTGTGCATCTAGTTCTTACTAACAATACGTTTCTTTTGAATTAAAAATATGAACTGTACGTAACTAACAACGAGGAACTGGCAGAAGTTTCTACAGAAAAGTGGAAACCAAGTTGTGCGAAGTAGTGAGCCGGCGAATGACGCGCCTCCCCAAGTTATGGCAATCAAGTTACGTAATTAATATATATGTGACTAATTAAGTTACGAGTACTTTAAATACTGTCTATAGTTTACGCGAGTAGTACACATTTAAATAAAACACTTTAACGGTTTAAAACGCGATATATTAGTTAAACTTATTTAATTTTGTAAGGACCCGGCCAGTTTCTCCAAATACCAACTTCGACGGAACAGATGGCGCTAGCGTAGCAATTTTTTACTTTGACGTCAGAGACATCCTCCATCTTTAGTCTCCCCGTGACCACGGCTGCTGCAGAGCATCCGAAACGTCGAGCCGAAGTTAAAAATCATTTTTAAATAAGTAATATTAACTAATATATCGCGTTTAACTTATTAGGTAAAACTTGTGTAAACTATAATCAAAATGACGCCGTTATTCTTCATTTTAAAGTTGTTATTTTAAAAGGCTTTAATGGTTTTTATAAAAAATTCATATTTTTCTAAAATTACAAATACAAATACAAAATATAAAATATGTTCAACTTCGTCTGGAAAACTGGATATTCAATGGGTGGTAGGAATGCCGGTCACGACCCAGTACCCACAGATTAAAAAGCCGTTAAGTTGTATCGCGTTTCGGTTTCAGTCTGTGGATTCCCGAATATTGAAAGCCGAAAAATATCGCTAGCACATCTTGAATGAAATAATTGAAGCTCGTCATCTTAAACCACCTTGTAATGATAAACGTAGATTGCGGTGTCCTACCAAAATTGATTTTATGCAAAGGCAAAGTATTTTCGATGCATACTGGGAAATAGGAAATATTCATAATCAACGATCTTTTATTTTGTCATGCTTAACCAATGTTACACCCAAATATAAATATACTAATGCTTTGGCTCCTCGAAGTTGTAACAAAGCTTTTCATTTAATCGTTAATGGTATATAAAGTCTCACTTTATCAAAACGCCCATACTTCATCTAAATTTACGTTTTAAAAATCTTTATTCAGACAAGGCAGTATATTTCTGCAAACTGCTTCTTGGAATAACTTTTCCTTTTAACTTAAATTATTGTACTGCATAGAACTTTGTTTTTTATAAATTTACAATAAAACTAGTTTACAGTAAAAAAAAGGATTTCACAGTATTTTGATTGTCCTAAATTGTATTTTAACAACCTCATTAATGTCTTGAAAACTTTAATATTTTTATTATTTTACCGGCATCCGATTTCTTTCGCCCAAAGCTAAGCTAAATTTACTAGTGCGCTGTTAGTAGATCTATTGGTGTAAAGATATTATTATAACTGAAACACGTACAGATAAGTTTCATTTAAAATATTTTGTACTATTTATGTACCTCCTGTAACTTTTAAAAATTTGACTAAACACGCAGATGAATTACTTCTATTTCTCTCTATGTAACTATCGAACTACCTATAGTCGCCTCCAAAGTCAAATTGTTAAACGTGACCATTGCGTTAAGCGCGAGGTCCTGGGTTTGAATCCTGGGAAAACAATAAATTGTTCGGTCAAGACAATATAAAACACTTTAATTTAAAACCATATATTAGTTAAATTATTTGAAAATGATTTTTAACTTGGCCACGTTTGGATGCTTTGCACAGCCTGGTACAGACTAAAGATGGAGGATGTCTCAGACGTCAAAGTAAATTAATACAGGTCCTATCAAAAAACTAATCCCTCCCAATCCAAACAGGAACAAGCCACCCACAGTCAAACGTCAGCCCCCTACCTACCATATTGAAGGGAGTTACAGATAGAATTAGCAGAGTCCTAAATCGAGCTTCTATTGACACAATTTTCAAGCCGCACAAGAAGATTCAGCAATTCCTGAAACCAAGCAAGTGTACTATCCCTTTACAAGATGCAGGCGTTTACAGACTGGATTGTGATTGTGGCCTATCCTACATCGCCAAACAAAGCGTACATCTCAAACAGAATTAAAGAACACTCCGATATAAAACATAAACGTCTCTCCAAATCTTTCCAACACTCATCAAAGGGCCCAATCACTACATTCGCTTTGACCAACCAAAAATCCTCGCAAAGGAGAGTGATTTTTTCCAAGATTGGTACGCGAAGCAATTGAAATCAAAAAACACCGAAATTTCAATAGGGAGGACGGCCTCAAACTATCAAACACCTGGATCCCATATTAAAAACTCTAATCCCAATAAACAGCATACCAGCAAACGCGAAGACACCGTTAGTCAATTCTGTAAGGACCCGGCCAGTTTCGCCAAATACCAACTTCGACGGAACAGATGGCGCTAGCGTAGCAATTCTTTACTTTGACGTCTGAGACATCCTCCATCTTTAGTCTCCCCCGTGACCACGGCTGTGCAAAGCATCCGAAACGTCGGGCCGAAGTTAAAAATCATTTTCAAATAAGTTTAACTAATATATCGCGTTTTAAACCGTTAAAGTGTTTTATTTAAATGTGTACTACTCGCGTAAACTATAGACAGTATTCACAGAAGTTTGATCAACTTTTTTGTCTGTAAAGGACCGATAAGTGAAACGGACACAGAAATGTGTACGCACCATGTTCCATTTCACTAATTGACTAACCCTAAACTACTAAATCCCCCATTTAGTAAGCAAACCGCGGAGACACGAACGATTATAATTGAAAAAAAATACGACACGGGCAGGACTTGTTCCGGTGCCGCGTTTGGTTCCATGCTGTTGCACTGACCGTGTTAATTGAAATCGTTTTTTTTCAATTTAAAAACGATTTTTTAATATATAAAGTAATGTGCAGTGACATGTGAAATATATTAAATCTTTTCAATGATGACTTTAGATTAATTATTTAATATAATTTTACGTGTTAGTATGTCTTAATTGATAAAGGCGTATTTAATATAATTGCGGTATCGGGATGCCTTTGAAACAAACATAGCTGTTACAGTCGTCATTCAATATTAGTTGATGGCTGCGGTGATAGCTACTCTGGATTTTAACCGCGATTTGAGGTTACAGCGGCACAAAATGATATGGGATTTTGTCAGTAAATACGGTTCAGCGTAGATTGACTTTTCATGGTTTCCACCCTTTTTTGGTACTGGCACAATGCCATAATACCGATACTGGCTTATTAGGTAGATGCGTTTCTTAGCAATAAGTGAAGTGATGTCCTGGGTTTGAAACCCGGCAAACCATTAGATCAGACGTATTCTCCGACCATTCTCAAAAGCAAGGAGTCTTTAGTGATTCTGGTAGCCTTGCGCCTCTAGTGGGGTTGGTACCAACTAGGTCACAGACGGTATAGTACAAATTATAATACTCCACTCGTCACAACTGTGTGTGTGGGTGTTGTATTCACATCGTCACAAAATAGAAGACATAAGTTTAATAAATACTACAAGTCTCTAAAATAAATTGATTGCAAGCTCGACTTCAAATAGACTACGAGTTTTATCAGCCCCTGTGATCTACGCGACCGTAAAATAGTTATATAAAGGTAAACTTTTGACGCAAAACGACAGATAACATTTTTTTTAAGAGATTAGAATTCATGATATAAGTTGTTGCTCAATGGTTAAACAAACTGCTACAAAGGCCTCATCACACATCATTTAATAGTAATTATATACAAAGTTAAATAGAAGTCTGTGGTTCGATTCCCGCGAGCATTCGACACGTGGTCAAAAATATCATACTTGTGGAACCAAATATTTAAATTATTATCATATAAAACGTAACAAAGGCGTGGTATATTTTTAGCGATATATAAAAATACACACATGAAAACTGTCTGTAGTTTACGTGAGTAGTACAAATTAAATAAAACACTTTAAGCGGTTTAAAACGCGATAGGTATAAGTTAAACTTATTTGCAAATAACTTTAACTGCGGCCCGGCCTTTCGGATGATTTGCAGCAGCCGTGGTCACGGGGGTCAAAGCATCCGAAACGTCGGGCCGTAGTTAAAGTTATTTGCAAATAAGTTTAACTTATAACTATCGCGTTTAAAGCGGCTAAAAGTGTTTTATTTAAACACATATGAACACCAAATATGTAGAAATAAATACGGTGATTCATTTATACACAAGCAAGAATGGAAGTCCTTCTACTTTAAGCTACTTACGTTGGTCGGAGAAACGAAATTGAACTCCATTTTAACCTATTCTGTGTTTACGCATGCTGTCTCAAATTTTCGTGTCTTCTTTTAAAAGAAAACCGCCGTTACGTCCCGACTGCAAGCTCTCCATCTTGTGATGTCACATGTCTGAAACAATGGCGGAAGAATTTCTTCTTCTGGTAAAAAAAAATAACAACGTCCAATAATAGATTGAAATTGTGAATTCGACAAAACAAAACAAAGAAGTTTGAAAACTTTATTAATTTCTACATTATTGTACATGAAAGGACTATATAATTTAAAAAATCGAAAATAAATTGAAAAAATTTCGACTCGAGTAGCACTTGAACCGGCATCGGCACGGACCGCTGCCGTTGCCGGTACCAATTGAGCTACCCGAGTCCTGAAATTTTGTCTGTTTATTTTCGATTTTTAAAACAAAGAAGACTAGATATTTGCTACTAAAATTTACTACTAGAAAAAAATCAAAATACCTACATTTTTATGTAGTATCGAAATACCTACATGTAAACTATTGTTAACTATATATCTATATTATTAAATGTAATTGTCTTGAGATATTGTGTATACTTAATAGAGTAAATAAAAAAATCGCTTGAATTAGCTGGACATCTGATGGGGTCACAAAATATCAGTGTTGGGACATTAATCCCAGCGTAGCTGAGTGATTTTCATTTCAGAGGCCACTCAGCTATTGTGGTATTGTATTTTATCCCAATTTATTTATGTTATATACCCGGCGTAGGCCATCTGTTTTATTACATTTATAGCTTAACAAATTGTATCGAGTGTTAATGCCAGATTACGTTATATTTTGTATAGAATTAATATTGAAGATTATCACGTCCCAGTAATGCCTAAATCACAGAATGTTATTGTATGAATAATTTATGACGAATTCATAAAATTTCACCCGTGAAACGGCTCCTATATAAGCCAATTTTCGCTCAAATTGTATTTGAAGGGAAACTAGTAGGCGTTTTTATGGCTAATATTTTCCCGAAAAAACCTTACTAAATTAAGACGACAAGAGATTAAAAGGTACACGTTAATTAGGTCATTAAAACACATTCAAAGCGCCCTAACGAAATATATTTTCTGTTTAAGCAGAAATCTTGAAATCAGTTGAAATTAAATGGACCTTAAAGATACAGAATATAGAAATATAATTTAGTATAAATAGAATTATAACAGGAGTTAAAAAAATATATCATTTTTATATTGAAGCATGTATTAAATACTACATATACATTTACGAATTATAATCACCTATTTAAAATGAAGCATGACTTGGAATCGTACCTGAATCTCGTTATCTGCATTCCAATCAACTAATACTGTATCTACGAGGCAGTTATATATGTTTTCTATAATATTTGTTTAGTAAACAGTACATGAAAAAACATATACTTGCTGACAGTACTCGCAGTAAATTTTACAAATTCAGCGATAAAACCAATAGCACAATCGTCCAATACGTTCCGAATGAAATATAAAATTCAAATCGATTTAGATGCACCAAGATTGAAGTAGTGGCAAATAAAATGAGTTCTGCTTCGTGAGCGTTTGAACGAATGAACGAACGGATTGAACTTTTCTACATGAAGACAAATGGGTCTTATGGGGCAAGAGGGATTTGAAAGGACTAGCATACGATTGACTTTTGTTCACTGCGATATATTTATGCAGAATATTGTTTTGCAGATCGCAGCCTTATATACATATGGAAGTTTTAGATTGTTTAAGATCTACTGTATGAGAAGACAAGTAAAGATTAAAATCCCGAGCATTTCTCAATTACCATAAGCCAAATCTTTTTAATATTTTATAACCTATTTAAATATAACGACAGCGCCATCTGGTTGAGATGTTATATAGATAGGGTGTTTTATCTTTAATGCTTCTCTGTAAAAAATATTTTAAAGTGTATGAAGTGAGAGGGGACTTAACTAAATGATTTTGTTATTTTTATTATTTTTTCAATTCTTTTCGCCCTGTTGTGATTTCATAGTAACAGAAACATAATTATGTGGCTGCTAGAGCCAGAGTGGACTAACAAAAAAATATAATTATTTGTGTTCAAAGTTTTCCGTCACTGTGCTTTTGTAGATTAACGTTTTTAGACTATAAAATATAAATAAGTGAACTTCAGAAATTGTACTTAGGCTACTCTGGCTCTAGCGGCCTCATACTTATGATGTGCCATAATTTATAGTGAGATTTAGATATGTTTTTCTTTGAAGCTATAATTCCTCAACGCTAATTTCGTACTTATAAGCCCTAGTTTTAATTGCTCCTCGCCTTGTATTTCCGGCTTCAATTACCGCGCGTTACGTGTTTCCTCAATAAGAAAAACAAAAGAAATTTCTTACATTATCCTTAAACAGTAATTAAGTGTTTTATTTTCTTGGCACAAGAAATAAAACACCTTTGTACCATGAATTATCCAATACCAAGCAACATTTATTTAAGTTTCATTTAAAATACAACTATTAAACACTGTCTGTACGTTACTGTACTGTACTGTTTACGAGTACTACCGGGACATTTAAATAAAACACTTTAACGGTTAAAAACGAGATATATATTAGTCAAACTTGTTGGAAAATTATTTTAACTACGGCCCGCCGCTTCGGATGCTTTGCCGTCATCACGTAACCACGGCTGTTGCCAGTTTAACTAAGATATATTGCGTTGGAAACCGTTAAAAGTGTTTTATTTAAACTATACAAGTATTATAAACAAAATAAAACAATAATATTTACTATAAACAAAACTATAACTGACTTTCATAAGTTCTTATTTCCTTACAACTTATTTTATCTCGTAAGTACGCGTTCAATTTCATATCGTTTTATTGCCGTACCAATCCCTTTTCCATTTAAAACAATTAATTAAATTAGCAGTTAAAAGATTTTAATTAAAACGATAATGTCGCTCTACGCGGGTTTTATTAGCCGTAAATATTTATCGCCGAAAATTATTACAATTTAAGCATGAATGATCGTTTATTTGTTTGAAATAGACGTAGTAAAGGCAATAAAAGGGAATGAGTAACTAGAGAGGGCCTTACGACTCGTAGAATAGATAATTTAGAATTGTTTGATATAATCGACAAAAAGTCTTAGATTGCTGAAAAATAAAGTAATAATAATCTTCAATTAGATAATTTTATTTACTGGTCGAGATTTCATAATCTTACTCTTAATATGAAGAACTAAGGCCGTAAATTCGTTTTTTTAAAAGCGCAGGAGACTCACGTTTCAAGAGACCGCGTCTTTGGCGCCGAAGGCGTCATTTGTTGCTTTTGGATTGATGATATAAAACGCGCGCACTGTCTAATAGATAGGCTTTTAAACTTTTTTCTTTAAGAAGATGTACTAAAGCCTTAAGCAGTGTAGTGTCAACATACTTCAATGTGCAGTCTTTAAGTAAAACGCAAATTTCGCGATCGACTGTATCGCTATGACTGCTTTAGAGGCATGCGCTACTTAAACGCGCATCTTCTGCGTGTTTAAGGAGCGCTGTGTCTAAGGGGCCCCAGACTTGATATATTTGCGTATTTATGCGAGTAATACATGTAAATAAAAATATTGAACACTTTAAAACGCGAAATATATTAATATAACTTGTTGAGCACAAAGCGATTCCCCGTAAACACGGAAACGTCGGGCCGTAGTTAAATATAATTTGTAAGCGCTTAACATCTAAATATTTCGTTTTAATTTGTCTTTAGTCAGTCTTTTATAATTAAATAATTGCGTCGTTGTGTAATGGCGTTTAACCCAACCTAAGATCGGTAACATACGAGATAAGTATTTGATGGAAATTAGGTCGTGTGTTCATATATAACCTACCAACTTTAATATAAGTACCGTTTACGAAGTAGATTATATTTAGATGTAATCTTATTGTGTTATAATTGTGTTGTTTGATGTGCGGCAGTATATTTAGCAAAAAACTACTTTTTTACATTTAGACAGCCTTATCCAATTGTTTGAATGGCTTATAACCATCAGGTCTTGCATTTCATTCCAGGTCCAATAATACCTGCTATAGTTAGGCCTGCTATAAAAAATCTGACCTTTAAACGGTGGCAGGAACATCAAACTCCTATCTTAGCCTGTGGATTTAAGAACGTTCTGTGCCGGTCACACACAGCGCATTTTCGATTATATCTGAACTTTTTCAACTTTCATAAAGTGTTTCTCATGTTTTCGTCTGTAGTTATACAAGCCACAAATGTATAGGTAGGTATGTAGCTTACGTTTGCAAGGGACAATGTAAAACGTTTCTCCACTATTTCCTCTTTAACAAATCACACACACGATTCTCCAAACAGTATACATTCGCTCACAAATGAAAACGTTTTTCTTCAAATCAAAGCATTTTCCTTCCTTTGTTCTTATATCTTAGGGCTTATCTCGGTTTTCATTTCCACGGATAAAGTTGGCCGGGGCCCGCATTTTCACCTATATAAAGGTGTAATTTAACGAAGCGAGTACAGTAATAGATTAATTAAATATATGTCTAAATAAAACACTTTAAACGGTTTAATCGCCAATATATAAGTTAACTTATTTACAAATTAGCAGATCTGGTCACCGGAGGATGGAAGATGACGATGACGATGGAAGGAAGAACTGGCGCCGTGTAAAGTTTAATCGCGTTTCAGTATCAGTCGATAGATTCCCGTTCATCTTGCTTAGATATGGAGGGAATTTTGTCTACAATCATGTGAACCCTATGCTTGTGTATCCTTCTCTATCGTTATAAAAGCCTAGCTATATAGTCATGTAAATTTAATATAACTTTAAATACGACTTAAATTAATAATTGTTTAAATTATGTTATTTGGTGTTTATTTGATACAGATCAATAAATGCATTCTTTATTTGAAAACTTTAATATTTTTGCATGTTGTTGCACATGAAGGCACTATATAATTCAATAATCGAAATTAAATTGAAAAATTTTTCGACTCGGGCAGGACTTGAACCGGCATAGCGTTCGGT